CCAACTTCACCAGCAGATCCCGGAAGCTTCACCACGGATCGAGACTAAAGCAGCACCACAGATTCTTTATGAGCGAAGGGATGAGACGGCAAGCTCTGTGTGAATCTTTGGCTCTTTGGTGGGTACATCAGAAGCAAAGCTTTCATGTTAGTTGAAGAAAGTTTCGAACTTTGATGTCAATCTCTCTTGCCCTGTAGAACCAAATCTGTGTATTGGTGAAGAAACAATAACGACATTGTTGCTTCATTCTTTTTTTTTTCAAACTAGATCTCGATTCTTCCATAGTTGATATATTCAAGATTATTCTCCTTGGATCCCTCCTTCTAGCGCCAACTGTTTAAACAAAAAACGGTATGTTTGTTGAATTCATACAATAAAAGATCTAAGAATTAGATCTTTGAGGTTTAGGAGAAATCTCAATGAAATCAAATGGGAAAGAAAAACATCAAATAGAGTTTTATTGATTAAAGATTCATTAAAAGTATGATACAAATGTAAAGTGAATCTAAAAATCCATAAATAGCTATAAGAAAGTGTTAGATCTAAGAAGAGGCAAAATATCCCTTTTTATAAAGGAGGTACCTCCTTTTTTATAGAAAGATAAAGCCAAGGGCTTCTTAACAATATGAACCTAATACATTGTCTAATGGGCCTTAAGGAGAATGCAAATCCATCCCAACAACAACGACTTCAGTAACTGGTATTTTCCTTCTCTTCTATATATACACCTAAGTCAACTTCTTGATCGTTATCGTCATTTTCATTCAGCAGACCATGTGGGGATGCGTCAATTTTAGGCGGTTGCAGATTTGCTTAGCTTATTTTCTCTGTTACAAGAAACATACATTCAGTTCTTGCGGGTAGAGACTTATGACAATGACATTTATCAGGCTCTTGTTTAGTGAAGCTCACATGTGACTTGGAAACCGAAAGAAAGAGAGACAAAGATGTCGAAATCATTCTTGTTCTTTGTGGCCATAGAACATTGCAATTAACTTTCCCCACTTTATGGTTATTCAAAGAAATAAAAATCAAATTGGTGGCTCATATGTCATGGTGGAGAATATATGTCTGCTTATATGTTATGACACTCAGCTCAATTAATTAAGCCTTTTCTGATTCCTCTTGGCTCATTTTCTTGTACCTCGTCTTTCTTTTTTTTTTTTGGACAAAAGGATTTGTACCTCGTCCTTCTTCGTATTTTTTGTTCAAAACTTTTTTTTGTTTCTGACAAAAAAAAAATATATATATATATATTATTTAGGAAAGTGATTTTTTCGCATTGTACATCTCACGTTAATACCACTATTATTTTAATTAATAAAATATACTCCCTCTGTTTTTAAATAAGTTTCATTTTGACTTTTTGTATATAAATTAAGAAAATTGTATAATAGACTAATATATCCCTATTTAATGTATGTTTAATTAAATAAAAATAATTTAAGTAAAATACTATTGGTTATTCAAAAGGGTAAAAAATAGATTAATGTACAAAATTACATTGGAATTGTAGAATGACACTTTTTTGAAACAAAATTAAAAGGCTAAAGTGACACTTATTTAAAAACAGAGGGAGTATAAATTAGCCCAAAAACAAAAATGAATTAAACTTTATTTGATTAAATAAATGATTAAAATTAATAATAATAACAATTATTAAAAATCTATAACTATGTTTTAAAATAAAAAAATATTTCATTTTTTGATTAGATAAGTGATTAAAGTTAATAAAATAATAAGAATTATCCAAAATCTAAAAATACATATATTGAAATAAAAAGATAATTCATAGATATATATATATATATATATATATATATTGTGTTGTTTTCAAGAACTTTTTTTAATAAAAAATTGAAATTAAAAAATAGAAAAGGCATAATTAATTATTAATCAAGTAAAATGTTAAGTTTATATAGCTAAAAAGGAATATTGAATGATTCCTAATATTTATTTATTAATAATGAATATATTGTGATCAAACATAATTTTCATTTTCCCTGGGACACGGTAACGTATTATTAATCAAGTACATGTTAATTATTAATCAAGTAAAATGTTAAGTTTAACGTACTAACTCATTTTTGTCACTAAAAGAACTACTTCATTTTCTTTATATAAACTCTCATTTTATGCTGACACTAACAGATAAGAAATCCAATTTTATTTCCATTATATTAAATGTTCATTGAAGACAGTTATTTTTTGCTCTCGGTAAAATCTCACTATATAGGTAGTTTTAGAAGTCGAAAAAAGGAAGTAGTTTTAGATCGACCTAACCAATTTTTGTTTAGATTGATTTAGCTTGAGTTGGTTAGTGTGCTTAGACTCTAATACTATGTTCAGTTTGATGCGTTTGTAAATTAAATTCAGCTGCGTAGAAATATATTAGTAAATGAAATACAAAATGTGAGAGTGCTAACGGTAAAGTTTATCTACAAAATTAGTAAATGAAATGTTATATAATATAAATCATTGAGAGATACGCAATGATGGTACGCATTAAGGATTATCTTAAGCAGAAGAAGGTGTTGGGGTTTTCGGTTGATGTCACGGAAGAGTGAATTGCTCATGTCTCCTAGCCAGAACCACAACAAGTGCCCCAAGTATATAGTCAGCCAAATGTCACTGTTCCCCCATCATTCCACTGTCCACCCTTCGATCCTACACCACCCATCATTTTGACATTTTCTTTATTTGATTATTATTTGTTGTTATTGTTTCGTTTTTTCTTCTTCTCAAGAATTGTCTACATTTTTATTGGATTTTTTTGAGAAAAATAAGGTGACTAGTTTTGCAATCTCTTTTTGATTCAAAGTGAGAAATGTAACAAGTAACAAAACCATACTGATCAAAATCATCGTGAAAAGAGAACCTCTTTATTCTCAAGAATTGTCTACATCTATATGTATCACATTTAAGTACGTACTCGGGCTACAACTTACAAATTCTTTATTTTTTGAGAAAAACTTACCAATTTATTTTTCTTCGTACATATGTACATACATACCTATACTAGATAAATATATATTACGCCATGGTCTCATTTATATTAATAAAATTATGTTTCATGTATACGATATTAGAGGTATATATGCGAGACAACTTAAACATTTGTTTGTGGCATTGTGTCTAAGTATGCAAAGGCAAATGGGAGACACTGTAGGGCAATGTTGTAGTCCCTACCTAATTGTATCTTGTATACATTCTTTCACAATTTTTATTTATATTTACTTGCCTCCTACAACCCACATGCGTTTGCTTTCACGAGAACATAAAATCTAGATGTCCTAGTTTTAATCTAAACAAGAGTTTTGGCTTTATATGATCCCAAAACTAGGGCTATGATCAGTTACGGAGAATATATACATAGTGTGCATTTGTTTTCTTTAATTACAGTGAATATATATACATACATACAGTCGATCTAGTCACCAACTTTTTCAACGCTTAAATAGTCAACATAATTATGATCGATAAGTGCTTGATAAAAAAAATTATGATCAATAAGTAAATTAACAAATTAGAAAGTATAGTCTTGTTTCATTTATTCTAATGCATATCTATTTCTATATGTACATGTTTCCCTTTAACATCGCTTATATATGAAAAGAGAAACATTACAACGTTGAACTATGTCACATGTCATCATCAAAATGAGTTATAAGAATCACTAGAGAATTAAATTGGTCTATTTAAACATATATTTACATTTTATTAAATTATCCAAAAATTAATTATTATGTACAAAATAATATATTCTTTATTAATTTCCCTAAATAAAAGTACATAATTACTAAATATGATCACAGTATATATTGTAATTAACGACTGTGAATGATAAAAGATTTAACATCATTTTCGCTAATTTTATATTGTTAAATTAAACCAAAAATCATATTCACCATATAATAACAATTTAGATTTTTCGTATATGTTATATTTTGAATATTTTAAATAATTTTAAATTACTAAAATTGTTAAAAGTTCAACATGAACATTTTTCTAATCAATAGTTTATTTTTTGTTATAATAAGATACAAGTTATCATAAAACAATATGCATAATAAATTCTCATTTAATAGATATTCATATTAAAAAGGCATATATATTTTGATACTGTTTAAATTAACTATACCATATAAAATAAACATTTTAGTTCTTAAATTTGTATTGAACGAATATTGAGAACTTAAGATACAAAAAATCATAAAACAAATATGCATAATAAATTCTCATTTATAGATATTCATATTTAAACATCATATCTATTTTGATACTGTTTAAATTACCTATATATCATATAAAACAAACATTTTAGTTCTTAAATTTGTATTGAACGAATATTGAGAACTTAATATTTAAATTTTTAAACTTGAATTGGATATTTAAATACAATTAAAAATTTTGTATTTTTTGTTTTACTGTCTGAAATTTTTATTATTGAAAAAATAAAAAAAAAATCATATGAGTACGAATCTTATTTAATAGATAATCATAACAAATATATACTCTATGTATGTTAATTTTATTTAAATTATATACCATAAATTATATACATATAATTATTTAGATTTATTTATTATTAAATAATTGAAAACAAAAAAAATATTTGATTTATGTGTACGCATCAATTTAATTATATATGTGATAGTTATTTGCTTCTCAAATTTTTTTGTTACTATGATTCTCAATTACAATATATATATATATATATATGTTAATATTATTATTATTATTATTATTATTATTATTATAATATGTAAAAATGTAAAGTAAATAATAGTTAAATTTTGTCAAACCCAATTAATCATTACATAGTTATTCTCATCAAATTATAAAAGCATACTGTATATATATTATTTTCTCTATTAATTTATTCGACTTCCAAACTGTCCTTACTCCATATAAATCCTTCTCCATGTACCTTGCTCTAACATCCATAACATTCTTTCAAACAAAACCAAAATTTCAGAAAAAAGTTTTAAAATAAAATGATGGCAATAAAGAGGTCATCTCAAGCAGCAACGATCAAGCAAATCTTAAAAAGATGCTCGTCGAGTCTAGGGAAGACGAAGAAACAAGAAGATGGTCTTCCTCAAGACGTGCCGAAAGGTCATTTCCCTGTTTACGTTGGACCAAACCGAAGTCGGTACATCGTTCCCATCTCTTGGCTCGAACACTCCGAGTTTCAAACGTTACTCCGACTAGCCGAGGAAGAGTATGGTTTTGACCATAATATGGGTGTAATCATACCCTGTGATGAAGTGTTTTTCAATTCTCTAATCTCTATGTTCAGATAAATTCATTCGGGGACTCGAGAATCAAAAGAAGGATTACTTATATATAGTTACGATATGATTGAATATTTTTGTGATGGTCGGAAGAAAAAATCTCTATATTATAAAGAGATTAGAATTTAAAGTGGAGGGAAATCCAAAAACAAGAAACAAAGACGAAGGGGTTAACCGCTTCGTGTTAGGGAATCAACTTTTTTTTTTTCTTTTTCCTAAAATCAAAGTTTGTAGTAGTTGGGTTGGCGGCCGAGGGACCTTTTTCCCCAATTCAACGTTAACGGCCAACGTGACATGTTGACGGGTATGGTTATCCCTATCAATCCTAATAGATTTTTAATGACTTTTTAATTAATAAAAAAAACCTAAGAACTTTAGTTAAAAAATTCCTATTTTGAGTGGTTTAAATAGAAAATTTTAATTAAAGGTTCTTAAAAAAAATATTAAACATTTTTTAAGAGAATATTTATTTATTAAATAAAATATATTAAAGGATAAATTCTCAAATATTTGATCAAAATGTTAATCAAAATTTTCATCGTCTACTCCCTCCAACGTATTGTGAGAAGAAGATGCCATGTACGTAATCAAAATGTAGAAAGTGTTTTTGACTCTTTTGTGAATAATATTTGTGATTAAGGAGAATGTTTTAGATAATTTTGTGAGAAGGAGATAATGCAACTTTGTGATCTTGGAAAGTCTTTCTCGATTACTTTGTGAAGAGGAGATAATTGAAAGTTGTTTGGTGAAAAGGAGAGAAGAAGAGTTTGTGATTGTAGTGTTTGGTATATACAAACTTTATATAGAGTATAAGAGAAGAAAATTACAAACGAAACCAAATAATCTTGTGAGTTGAATAAAAATATTGTCACTTGCAGAAAACTACAAACGAAACCAATACACGTGACTTGCATAAAAATCTTGTCACTTCTCTTGCCTTTGTCTCTATGCTTCAAATGATCCAACAATCATATACATGTAAATGCATCAGTCACTCTTAATAAACTAAAAGCACATGCATACAGTACAAAGATGAAAACATAGTTCATGTAAATGCATCAGTAATCTCAAATAAAACCTTCGACAACAACTCAAGCAAATGTTACAATCACTGCAAAAGTAATGAAGTTAGAAGGAAGTAACAGAATGAAGTCTTCATGTTCAGTTAGTTACCACATGTTTCTTTCCTTCCTTTCATAATTGTTAACCACTTATACGAAAGCAGGGGATGAATATATAAGGAAACCAGGAATCATTTGTACCTTTACAACTGATTTTGAAAGGAACAACATAATCATTGTATCCAACTTCATGTCCTGCTTCAATCCAGGGTACTGCACCTATTTCAGACTGTATAATGTAGAATCAGTCACCATGGTGGGTTCGAAAAACTCATTCATACAACTGAATTCAAAGTCACATCTCTTTCAAAAGTCTACCTCACAAACGCTGCAGAACTAACACAGAAACTAGTTGAGTTGATACATTGCTAGAGAAGTTCATGGAGTACACGACCTTAATCCCTTGAGTAGCTTACTGTTCCAACTGTTCCAGAAGCATCTGATTGTCCCTGAAGATCACCACAAACATTCGAAAGAAAAAAAATTAGAATTGAGTCTAAAGCAAGAAGTCTAAGATGAAATAAGTGATAGTATATAGAAATAAAATGAGAGAGATTGTTATGTTTACCGCGTCCTTTGCCAACTCGTCGTAGTTGCGCTACATACTCTGAGATTTTCTTGATTGCTTCCACCTGAAGAATGTTTTATAGTTCTATTATCTATGGGAACCGAAATTCACCCCTGTCGATTTTACGTAAATTTAGGAACTTAGGGAAAACTCTAATTTTCCAGAGGACCCGGATCTCTGCGAGAGCCTACAACAAGTAACCAAATAAATGCGGAAAATATGAAAAAATGATAAAACAAGTTTATAAAGAAAGTTGATCTTATTTCAAATTCGCGTAAGAGCGTTGCGATCTTTACAAGAGATTACAAAGGCTTTGGCCGCAGGGGCCGTCAGCGAGTTTCCTAGTTCTAGCAACATAAAACCCTAAACTTAGTTGAGTCGCAACTCGATAACAAAAGACGAAAAAGATAAGAAAAAAATGGGTTTTCATTGATTTCAGACTAAACCTTATGAAAGGCTGCCTACATACCGCTTTCAAGGATCAAATTGAACGTAGTTCAATTGATAAAGCTGGATAAGAGATCGAACTGCATGGGCAAGTTCATCTAGTAATTGAGCGCCAGTCATAGAAACCGAACTTGTCGAGAATAAAGCCTAAGTTTCTAAGTGAGGAAAATTCTAAGTCTAGAAAAGTTGTAAAAGTCTCAGATGAGAGCTCTGAAAATCGTCCCCCTGCTCTTTCCTTAGCCTTCTGCTTATATACTCTCCCCCTTAGGCGGTTTAGTCCTTCCTTTTCGCTCAGATTCGAGTTTATTGGGAATCTTCCAATTATCTCGATCTTTCCATTTTCCTTGCGGAAATCTTCTATTTATCTTCAAACTTGACATCTTTAAACTTGATATTTATCTTCTTTCTGCAAGTAAATCGTCAAACTGTCATTGTGTTTTTGGACTGGACTTCGTTTAAAGTCGCGAGTGGGCTTTTATCGCGTTTTAGGACTGTCCGATCTGTTTTGCGATAAAAACCGTTTTATGATTTTTAGACGAGATCGTTTCCTGATACGATGCGTATAATTTGACAATGTACGATGTTCCGTCTAATCGTTGTCCTTTTATGCGATCTTCCCCAATTCTTACGATAAAAGAAGACTTTTACGATTTTATCATAAAACTCGAATGGTGAGCGGATCGAGATGAAACAAGAGACGTTACGACCATGCTTTAGAGCATGATCGAATCGAAGGACGTATGCCTTACGTCAAAGATGCGGGGGAGCAAGGCTCAGGACGGTCAGCTCGACGTACAGCGAGCCGAACCGGGTTGGTTCAGCTCGCCGTACGGCGACCTGGTCCGGGACGAACCAGTTCGCTGTACGGCGAGCTGAACCGACTGGTTTGGCTTGTCGTACGTTGAACTGGTTTGGTCGAACCTGCTCGTGATTTACGTCGGATGTGTTTTTTTTACGTTTTTTACTTAACTTGGGCAATCGTGTAATCGGCGATTGTTTCGTTCATTCTTCCGAGATGACAATTTCCAAATTTTCCGCAGATTTCCTTTTTGTTCAGAAAATCCTTAGAATTTTATAAAACAACTTCTCGTGTTTTATAAAATGTATTTTTATTTTTACAGAGACTTTTAGCCATTTATTCCGTCGTGACCGATTTTGACACCAACAGTTAGCTCCCAAGCTCGGTAAAACCTTGAGCCTCTAGCGTGAGGTTCTTGCGAGTGGTTAGCCAGTTTTAGGTAAGTTAGGCGGAATTAATTGTTGGAAAGGTCCATTGAAAGTGATCGTTCCACTCTCCAGAAAGCGGAAAGCGTTTAAGATTAGTGCTGCACCTTGTGAAGGCTGCCTACGTACCCTATTGAAGGGATCAAGCCTTTTGTAGTTCGTCTTGGAGTTAAAGTTCGTATGACCTGTTTCCTAGTGAGACCTTTACAGTCTAGTTATGTGTTGTGTAGAAATTATTGAGCATATTGATGTCGATGGCATCTTGTATTGGACCTTTGCCGGCCTTGAGACTATCCTCGTAGGCTGTTTGCTATGACCGAGTGTGGCCGTTATAGTTTTCGAACTGGCCGTGTGCGACTCTGAGTCCCTGCCGCTTTGCGGCTTTATGAATGTAGAGGGAAGAATATGAGTTGTCGTCTCATAGTCTAACTCTTTTTGTAGATCGCCCTGTTCGTTTTCCCGTTCCAGAATTTTTTGAAATTCGGTGAGCGTTTAGATTTGAACGAAGAGACATGCCTTTAGGATCTCGAATCACGCCTTGAGACGTTAGAGACCAGTGTGCTGGGTTTAGGGCAAGACCTAGGTTTACTTTCGGATTGAGGCTATGCGATGACTAGTCGGCTTTCGTTTTGCCTGTTGCGATTTTAACTTGATTCCATACTGATTTAGAGTCCGCGATATGTTCTCGGCTTATACGACTCGTCTGGTTGGAATCAACCATCTCACCGTGGACAATTTTTGAGTCTCTCGGAATTGTTGACCAAAAGTTTGGATTTCTTTTATAGCGCTATTACCCTTGTGTCGGGTGTATGAGAGCTATCTCTGCGAAATAACTTCAGTTTGTTTAGGACTGTTGCGAGTTTGTTGTGATCAGCAACAGGCTTGGTGGTAGATGCTACCGTCGTTTGAGCCTTCGCGAAGGATACGTATCGTAAGAAGTTTTGTATGTTTTATAGTCGCGGATGGACTGTTGGGTCTTCCAAGAAAGTGATTTTATCGAGGAAGGTATTTGTGTCGAAAAACTATTCTTCGGGCGTCTGCGACGTCTCGCAGTGCCGAAGATTGTTTTTTTTTATATGTCGCGTTTCGTGTTCGAAACGTTTGCAGGCTCGAAGATGTTGCGCGATGTTTGCAAGGGTTTTGTCTTAACCCTGCTTTGCAGAAATACTTTGGTTTTTTTGCGGACATTCGCAGCGAAAACTTACGTTTCTACTTGGATGTTAAGTAGTCTGATTCGTGCTAGAGTAATTAGGACCGAGGGGTCACGTAAGTTTGCTCCTGAATCGAAATGTCTTTAATTACAATTCTTTGTGAAGTGTTGACCTTCCGAGACTCTTATGGCTCAGGAGCTCTGTTACGAGTGTTTTCTTACACGTCAGATTTTGTCGGCAACTTGCTTCAGAAATAGAGTGAATCGTGAGAATACAGAACTTAACCGATTTTCGACAAGTTTGCATTATCCGTTGAATGTATTGGCTTGGCGTGAAGGTTGTATTCAGCCGCATAGCCAAGGACGTAGTTGGTAGAGGATTAGACCACAGCATTTTTGTGCTATTAATAAGGTCAAGACAGTTTGTAAACTTGGACTCGGCATTGAAATGAAGCGTGATCGGACAAGGGCCAAGTAGCGATTGTCAAGATTGATATGC